TTGTAGCGGGTAAAGGCTTGTTGGGATTTGGTTTCGCGCCATAGACGCATAGGGTTTTGGTGTGATCAGTCTGCCAGGGCTGGAGCGGTCAGGGTCTGATGTTGCGTGTGGTTAAAGGCGCTAGTGAGTCAAGGGCAGTTGACAGCGCGTTGTTGTAGGCAGTCATAGTCAAGTCGGGGCAGGACAGGGGGGGGGATGCTGTCGTGGAGTTGATCAGCTGCAGAGTGGAGGGGGGCAGAGTTAAGGTTGCGGAGGTTACGGCTGGTAGTAGTGTGACACTTGGAGGGGTAGGCGTTGGAGGACGAGGAGATAGAGAAGGTAATCAGGTTGTGGTCAGAGAGAGGGAAGGGGGTGTTAGTGAGGTTGTGGGGAGCGCAGCGGTTGGAGAAGACAAGATAAAGGATATTACCGTCGGAGTGGGTGGTGGATTGTATGCACTGTGCAAGTGCAAAGGAGGAGGTTAAGTGGAGGAGATGGAATGTGGCCGGGTTGTCGAAGTTGACAGGGATGTTGAAATCCCCAAGGATGATGGTGGGTAGCTCAGAGGAGAGGAAGAAGGGTAGCCAGGAGGAAAAGTCATCCAGGAAGCGGGATATGGATCCAGGAGGCCGGTATATCACAGCAATCTTGATGACATTTGCCGGCCGCCATTCGGCCATAGGGCGCGGGCGGCAAATGGTTAAACACACAAGTATTGTTGTATCTGTTTGATAAGTGCAATAAAATATCTGCTGGTCTCGACAAACATCCAAAACCTGTGTACACTTCTTATGTTGTTATCTCAAGCAGCCCAGTTAGTCCTCCCAGTTGTTATAATGGAACTATAGAACAAACAGCCTCTATGCTAGGAGAAATAGGATAGGACAAAATTTTAGTAACAGTATAGCAAAAGACCACTGGGCAGGGCTGGCAATATTCAGTCCACAAACATAACTCAAACATTTTGTTATATCTGTTTGATAAATGCAACAAAATACCTGTGGATCTTATCAGAGGTACAAAATCTGTATACACTTCCTGTGATATCCCAAAGAGCCCATTTAGCCTCCTTCCAGTTCATATCTTAGGACTGCATGTATGTTGTTGGGAATAGCATAGGGGGGAGGTTTGAGTAGTGTGGCAAATGACAGCGGGGCAGGACTGGCACCACTTAATCCACAAAGCTGTTTGCAATCAGCCCACAAGTAGGAGCTCAGTGCATTTCTGACATAAACAGGTAATTTTCTGTATTTGGATAAAACCTAGGGAAACTGTCATGTACTGTACAGATGTACTGAACATGCTTTTTTTAAAAAATAAAAATGTAAAAAATATAAAACCGCAGTTTTACCATTTGTCATCCTGTTATTTCAAAATGCAGATTGCCGCTAGGTGCCACAGTAAGTGTTAAAATACCCTGTGCTGGCAGCACATATGAGAGTCATATCGCTGTTTTCACACACAGTGCAGCAACCTGAATCTCCAGAGGTCTGCCATGTTCACCTGAGCACTGATCCAACTCTGACGAGCTGCCAGCACAGAGTATTTGAAACCTTTCTAAAGCAGTCAGCAGTTAAAAAAAATTTAAAAGGGAAGCATATTTATTACTTTATATGCTGTCCTGGAGCATTACACTAATACATTGTATATCAAGAGGGCTCAGTTAAACTTTAGGGACATATAAGACTTTAATTTGTTATAGTGTTTTAATAAATTCCCTGCTCAAATTCCTTCTATAAGTTTTCCATTGATATTAATCTTTTTATTAGGCAATATACAATTTCAAGTACTATGTTTACTATATGGACAACAGAGCCACATAAAAAATATCAGCACATGATCATAATTATAATGCACGTGGGATACACTTAGAACTAACAAGAAGAACAACTTAGGGAGGAGACCAGAATAAAGCAGAGCTAAAGCATATTAAAAAATGATGAATCTACCAAGAGACAATAGTAATATGAGGAGGATGTTAAGATGAATGAAAATAACAGAGAAGGAGGGAAGAAATGAGCCTTTAGATGACAGTGGAATGCATTAATATTTATATAGGAGATGCTGATGACCTGATTATCTCATGGCTAGGGAGGAAACAGGGGAAAGAAGAAGTACATTGTAAAAGGTCATCAATGAGAAGTTAATAAATAATGGATTGTCAGTCAGCCAAGGTTATATCTGCGGGAGGTAAAAACGTCTGTGAATCTAGTATTTCATGTTTATTTCCAGAACGAGAGCATCATTACTTCTCTGCGTAGTAAATAAATGTATGCAAATTCAATTTCCAGTACGTTAGCTATACAGATGGAGTTGCTCTGGCAGTCAGTTATACATACAGGAATGAAGAGGGAGGCCGTGAAATGTGGCACTCGCTGTCGGGAATGGAGGTACATATAAACAAATTAAAGCTCTCTGCTGCACACCTGGCTATAACCATATTATTGTGTGGTAATATACACTGTTTTTCAATTCCAGATTGAAAATAAACTGAAACCACATGTGTCAAACACTAAGGGGAATACTGCAGTGTACAGTAAGAAAGTCCAAAGAGGTCCCAATGGCAATAGAAACATATAATCAGCAGTCATAAACTGATAGAGTATGTGGGGAGCTGGACAGATGTAAGTGTGCCAAAGACAGTGTGTAAGGATAAAGAGGGTAATGAAATGATTATGCAGCATAATTTAAAGTACTTGCTCTGTACCCATGCAAGATTACATACAGTGGAACTTAAAGATCGGGGTTCATCAGGAGCACTTGCTATAGTGTGCAATTATGTATGGCATACTTGCACATTATTACAACTCAACTCTCAGTTTGCCATCCTCTAGTGAAGATTGTTCCAAACTTTCCCTCACCACTCAACAGCCACCACTGCCATCTTTACAGAACATCTTTTTGCTGCCAGCGTCTTCCTTTTTCAGCCATAGGGCTACCAGTAGTGATAAAACAACTCCTGCATAACTGTGATGGAGCAGAATTATATCATTACTACGTTTCACTCTTTGGAATTTAACAGATGCCAAGGTTTGTGGGTTACAGGCAATGTAGGTATTAAAAAAAACTAGTAAAAGGGAAAGGACTTTTTGGGCAGATGAGGCACACACAGGGGTTGATTTACTAAAACTGGAGAGTGCAAAATCTGGTGCAGCTGTGCATGGTAGCCACTCAGCATATAACTTCAGCTAATCAAATTAAGCTTTGACAATAAAACCTGGAAGCTGATTGGTTTCTATGCAGAGCTGCACCAAATTTTCCACTCTCCAGTTTTAGTAAATCAACCCGATATTCTCCTTTACCAAAAACTCTGTCTACTAGCAATATTTGAAGACTTCAGTTTAGCTTTAACCACTTGCCTACCGGGCACTTATACCCCCTTTTTTACCAGGCCAATTTTCAGCTTTCAACGCTGTCGCACTTTGATTGACAATTGTGCGGTCATGCAAGATTGTACCCATATGAAATTTTTATAATTTTTTTCTCACAAATAGAGCTTTCTTTTGGTGGTATTAAATCACTGCTGGGCACTTTACTTTTTTGCGCTATAAACAAAAAAATTGCCAAAAATTTGAAAAAAAAAAGTTTCTTTGTCCCCATTATAAAAGTTTTCAAACAGATAATTTTTCTCCTTCACTGATGTGCATTCATGAGGCAGCAATGATGGGCACTGATAGGCGGCACTGATAGTCAGCACTGATGGGCACTGATAGTCAGCACTGAAGGGCACTAATAGGCGGCACTGATAGGCAGCACAAATGAGGTGGCACGGATAGGTGGCACTGATAGGCAGCACTAATGAGGTGTCACGGATAGGCGGCACTGATAGGTGGCACTGATGATGGGTACTGATAGACAGCACTGATAGGTGGCACTGACTGGTGGCATTGCTAGGCATTGACTGGCGCAACTGCTGGGCACTGACTGGCACAACCGCTGGGCACTGACTGGTGGCACTGACTGGCAGCAATGCTGGGCTGCATTGATGGGCACTGTTGGGTGGCACTGGTGGGCGGCACTGATGGGCACAGGTAGGTGGCACTTCTGGGCACAGGTAGATGGTACTGGGCACTGCTGGGTGGTACTGGTGGGCACGGGTGGGCGGAGCTGGTGGGTGGCGCTGCTGGGCACCGATCATCAGGGCACTGATCATCAGTGCCATGATGATCTGTGCCGATCCCTGCTCTGACAACTGCCGGTTCTCGGCAGTACTTTTCTCACGCTCTGACAGCGTGAGGAAAGTGCAGCCGAGAACCAGCAATTGCATTTCCCGGTGATCAGCGTGTCATTGGACACGGCTGATCACGTGGTAAAAGGCTGCTGTGATTGGCCTTTTACCACATCACGTGATCAGCTGTGTCCGTAGGACACAGCGATCACGGAGATCGCCGGGTGCGTGCCCCCGGGGGCACGCAGGAGAGCGCGTTCTGGGAGACGCCCCCTCCCAGAACTGGCCAGCCGCAGTGTAGCCGTCATTCGGCTATCTGCGGTTGGCAAGTAGTTAATGAGCCACCCCCCCTTGCTTAAATGTACTCAAGATATATTTGCTACCCCTGCTGACCCATTCAGCCGCTGGAGAAAAGTAAAAAACAATTGTATAGGCTCCAAATCAGTCTGGTGGGGGCTTATACAAAGCTAAGGACCTTCCTCCCACCACCACATGACATTGATGCAATGTGGAAGGAGATAGAAAGGGTCACATGTTCCCTGCACTTATAAGTATTGGATATTGTTTCAAATCATGGCATTGCTGTCCTCTTCTAAAAATGCCTATTGTCTGTCTGTCTTTGTCTTTAATACATTAGGCCATTGGGCTTCAACAAATATTCAACAGTAATCAGTTCAGAAAATGGCAGCCTCTATATCTTTCTAAGTTTCCATTGTAAGAAACAGAAAATTCTTATATCATATCACAAACAACCTGTACCTGTAGTTTGGCTGGTTCTCCATCCTCAAAAATTACAAGGCACACATAAAGACGTACCTCTGCACGTGTCCCGATGCTTGTAGTAGGAAGGTGGGCAATGCTCAACACAAGCTCCATTATGAAGGATGTAGTGTTCCATACACTGCAGGCAATCAGTGTTCAAAGGGCCCTTGCAGGCATTGCAGCTCCAGTCACACTCTGCATTAATAAAGGAAATATTATTAACAATGTGAAAACCTTCAGTTCTCGTTTTAATTTGGAATTTCATATTCTAAAACAGACTAAATATTATATCAAATGAATCACTCACTGTATCCAAGGGAATAGGCACATTGCTTATATTCCTAAATGAGCTTGTGCCCACACTGATTTCATACATCCCTCAACATTAGGTTATGCCTCTGACATGTTTTGTTTGGAAACCTCAAACACTGACAACAGTTGCTCAGGGGCAGATAAAGGGACTGGCTGAAAATGAATCCATATGGAAAGTAAGATCCAGTGCACTAGGTTAAAATCGTATAAAGCCCGAAGCAAACATTTATTATATTGCAACTTATCAATTCTTAGATGTGATGGCTATATTAATTTCTTTTTAGGCTTTCTTCTACTTCCATCTGGCGATCTGGACAACAAATTTGTTGTTTTATAAAAGCTCAAACTCTCCAGCAGAATGTATCAGTTACCGGGATAAGGCAGACCATTTGACACTGGCAAGGGTGGTTAAAATGATCAGCTTTTATTTATTCATGTAAAATCTTTATCCCAAATGGAAAACAACTGCTGTAACTGATTATGAAGTGTGAGCTGGAGTGTGGCTTTATTTAGTTACTGATCTTAAATCTACTAATACATTTAACACTCCCCTCCCCACCCCCCCAAGATTGATAATGCTGCTGTCTGCTGTGCCACTTGTCCTCATTGCTACAGACTGGTGTCTCACCAATACAGATGTGTTACTGGTCAGGTCACTTGATGAAAACAGACAGAAAAAGACAAAAAAAAAGAAAATTGATGCAGCTACATCTAATGATTGGTAAGCTGCAATAAATTAAATTTTTGGTTTTGGGTTAATAACACTTTAAAGTGTAAGCTCACGTAGAAAAAAGGCCACTTTGATCCTATATATATATTTATACATTATGTTTTCATATTTTCAAGGATATGCTCATATGCTATCACCCCCTCAACCCCCCCCCCCTTTATACTTACACAAACCCACATTCAATCCAGTGCTATGCCTGCCTGCAGCTCTGCTCTCCCCTTACTTCCTAGTCTCACTGGCTTTGCTGAGGCCACAGGAGCCATTGGCTGCCATCAATCAAAGCCAGGGATGAGGGGGCAGGGCCGAGTCCCACTGTCTGCGTCTATAGATGCAGACAGCGAGGTTTGGGAGCGAGCTCATACAAGTGCCCCCAAAGAAAGCAGATTCCAATGGGGGCACTAGCCAGAGAGGAGGAGCAAGAGCATGGGATCCGAAAAAAAGATGTTCAGGGCTGATCTGTGCAATGTAAGTATAAACCTGTTTATTATTTAGAAAACAAAATAAAGAAAATGCATTTACAATCACTTTAATTGTAAATAGATCATTAAATTATTATCTGTATTAAAAGAAGCTTTCTTAAGTCATGCGCATAACCTTCATTAACTTACCAAGCACCTAGAGACCCCTAAAGCAGGGGTGGATTGACATAGACTGGTTTGTTAAAAATTAAACACATGTGTATGGCATAGTAATGTCAGCATAAGTACTATGAAGCCCATTAATGTGTAACACTTAATGTACTCAGCAATGTTGCAGTTTTCATATATCAAATTAATATCCGGTTGACGGGTATAAATACCATCACCAAAATGGTGGACCTTGGTGGGAGGACAGTGGTGCACTCTTGAGATAATTTACGAATCAAGATATTGCAATTGAGCTGAGCACAAGCACGTGCACCTTCACTAATTTGGGACTTTTTTTTGGTTTTGTTGTACGATGCACATGATTATATTTATGCGCGGTCCACCTGGTTTTTAATTTATATGCATTGTGGTATTTAACACAAGTATAAGACTGCTGCAATAGTTTATTTTTTGTTTAGCTTTTTATAGCACATCCAATAGCACATGAGCACTTTTATAAATATAGACTGGTTTGTACCTTCTTGCAACCATTAAAGCATATTTAAAACCAAAAACAGAAATTTCACGTTACAGCATTCCAGTCCTAGGATATTTTTTTTTTCAGGATTTTCTCAAATTTATTTGTACCTGGTAATCCTGCAAATAACTGGATTTTTCTACATACTTACCTGTAAAATCCATTTCTCAGAGCACATCACGGGATACAGAGCAGGATATTCATGACTATGTGGGTTACCAATAAGAGGTCCTCCCCTGTATAAGAGGTCCTCCCCTATATAACCCCTCTTATACAGGAAGTACCTCAGTTTTTGTAGCAAGCAATGACATTCCCAAAAGAGGAGTGGGTTTTACCGGTAAGTATGTAGAAAAAATCCAATTCACAGAGCAGGCTCTTCAGGACATGTAGGATGTCCCAAAGCAAGGCTCAAAATTTCAAGTCCTGAGCTACTAGCCAGGCCTTAGGAGTTGCTCGCCACCAGTTGCCCCACCCAACCCCTACCCTCTCCCACCCCTAATTCTGCCCCTAAACATGCTCTCGTAAATTATCTCACAAAATGACACTGTTAAATGTTACCCACATTATATCAGGGTCCCCAGAGTCCCCCCACATTACATCAGGGTCCCCAAAGTCCCCCCATATTACATCAGGGCCTCCAATATCCCCCTAAGCACTACATCATACTTAGACCATGCACCGCATACAACCATAACCCCCCATAATCTCTCACTCACCAAACCATAACTCTACCAAGCATAGCCTACCTTCTATTCAACCCAGCAATATCTCAAATGCCCCATCCTCTACCACCCATCATAACCACATCGTCCTGAACCTGACCAAACCACCCATACATGTATGCTTAAACACATACATACAGACACATGTACACACTCACACACACAGACAGAAACATGTACACACATGCACAGAAACACATGTACACACATGTACATACACACCAAACCACCCATACATGTATGCTTAAACGCATACATAGACAGACACATGTACATACACACACACAGACACATGTACATATACACACACAGATACACACGTGCACACATATACTCGCACACACAGACACACATACACACATACACATGTACATACACACACACTGATACACATACAGACACATGTACATACACACACAGACACATGTATATACACACACACACACACGTACATACACACACACACAGTGTGGGTGCATCTTGGGCAATCCGCCATCAGTGTCAGTGGCTCAGGTTTTCAAGGCCACTACATGGTCTTCGGTTCAGACATGCACAAGATTCTACCAGGTGGATGTCATAACCGCAGAGGATTCTGAAGTGTTTTACGAGTGGCTGAGTAGGTCCTAAGGTATTATTGATGGTGGCTATCATGGTGTCACCCTCCCCTCAAATTTCTTATTGCTTTGGGACAGGCCCCTTTAAGACTATACCCTACCATGAGGGCAGACAGGAGCTGTGCCGGGATCCTCACTGAAGGATGCTTGTGTACAGGCAGGCAGTGAGCTCGAAGGGGTGGGGGCGCACACGTGATGTCATGTTACTGTGACGACCGCCCTGCTCAGCGGCTGATCTCTCATTGCGGACTGGCAGGCTGGCAGTCCAGAAGGGAGCGCTGCTGGGGCCTTTCTCAGACTGCAGTCCGCCATTTAGTGACCGCTGCTCTATCATATAAAATCCCAATGAAATACATTTAAGTTTCGGTTGTAACATGACAAAATGTGGAAAATTTAAAGGGTAATGAATACTTTTTAAAGGCACTGTATTTCCTTGTAACACCCTTTTTCTGTAAATATTTTATTTGCATCATTTTGACCTTTTCATTTTTAAACCCTATTTTGAAAAGTGTTGAAATTGTCTCTAAGGCTAAATACTTTTTCAAGGCACTATAATAATACTGTGATATGATAAAGGAAGCCAAAGTTCTGAAAAATATATATTTTTAGCTTGGAAATGATACTGCATACAGTATAATTCAAACCACTATTACTGCAGTGCCACTGTCAATGTTGTATATAATGTGGCAAGGATTATGTGTAGAACAATGTATCCACATACAAAAGAACAACACTGTTAATTTAAATGGGGAAACTATGTAAATCAGTTTTTTCATTGGTGAATTAATTTACAGTAAACAGTTGTTTTATTTCTGAAAAATGAAGAAAGGGAGGGTAAGAAAAACACAAATACCATAAATAATATAGAAGAAAACTAAATTCAAGAACATTTTTTAGTATTACAAGAAAATAAAAATAAGACAAATTCCATGTGTACTCCTGGGCATCAGGCTCCGTTTTACTTTGTTGTTATTGATTGAACATATTGAAGTTCAGTAGTAATCACCTCTCTTGGTGGAAAATAAGATGAAGCCTGTTCTAAGTAGTCCTCAATAACAGAACATACAAGAATTCAGAGAGCAAATCTAGACAGGCAAATTCAGTATTTTAGCAGATACAACATTCTAGAGTTTGACACAAACAGACAAGTTCATATTGTGCCCAACATATCAAATTATACTACCTACTTGTGTTCAGTCATCTGCATGCTTTCTTCAATAAAAGTTCTCATTCATATGGAGTGACACATGGTTAAGAAGAGCATCTTTATGTTAACTCAGAAGTCTCTTAAAGCAGTCTTTCAGGAAACACAGCACTCTTTCTTGTAACATACCAATCTCTTGTGACACTGGCCGTCTGCTGAAACCTAGAAATTGTTTTCTAATCTTACTGAAAGTGATTGAGTTATACATCAAATATATTTGGAAAGCTTTAAACTCCAGCCAAAACATATTTAGCTTTGGATAGAGCAGGGAAGAGATAGAGCCTCTGCCCGGTTCCTATTCCTATCAATAGAGATCTGAGAATGAAGTCGACACCATCATACACTGGACTCAAAAAGTACACCACTATATACTCACTATATAGAAATTCCCTACAAATAACAACTGAAATAGAAATTGAAGAATGTAGGGGGTTTTTTTTTTTTTCGAAATACAGTAAAAGCCAAAACAGACTTTTGTTAAGATATTTCCGGATCATAATTATAAAAGT